TCACAATATCTGTAGAACAATTTATGATGCTACGATAAGTTGACTTATTTCCATAAATACAAGCAACTCAATTTTATGTTTTGGTTTCCAAAAAACAACGAAAACAGGAATATGTAAAATATCATGCATAAAATTTCTATGAAAATAGAATAGCAACTGAAATTTCTATTAAAATTTTTAAGAAATTATATGTCCCAATGAAAATCAATATTCAAAATTCAAAGTTTTGAAGTTTAAATGAAATGTACTTGTACACAAATAAATGACAAACATTCCATTGCATGCATTCATTGTATCAATGATTTGGGAATAACAAAAATGCAGGAAGGAATTATTTCTTAAGAATCTGGTTTAAAAGGTCAAATTTCACTTTAAAACAGTCATTTCCTGTCTCACTTCATGTAGTCACCCTTGGTCAATTTCTGTTTAAATTTCAACCAGATCAGTTTCAACTGTGAGTTCAAAGCTGCAACTGCTTAATTTCACTTTTCACATCATTACAATGATCACAAACAAAGCTAAGTTTTGAGTTATAAATTTTGTAATTGACAGAGACCAACAAACATTGAAAAGTTTAAATATTGGCAAACGATAACAGACTTAATCGCATTGACTTTTACAAATTTAACAATACCTTCAAAAACAACGAGTCACATTCGGAAGTATTATTTACTGTCAACCAATTTTGTCAAACCGATTGTTTTTTGTTCTTTTGTTTGGACAATAAAGGAAAAGATTGTCTTTGTAAGAAATGTTACCTTCGAGAAAATAAAACCATAGGGCAAGCTTTAAAGGGACTTCATAATTATAAGGCAAGTTCTGTTAAGTCAGCCTTTTTACATCCAGATATTGTCAGTATCGTTTATACAATCAGATTTCCATCAGACTTACTTGTCTTGATAATTTTCATATCTATGTTGTTAATATTTACCCAAAATATCACAAACTTATCCACAAATGTATTTTTTATCATCGAAACTTATCCACAAATGTATTGCTTATCATCGAATGTAATGTAATCTACGTACTGCAGTAGCATTTTCGAATGTCAACCACTTTTTATGAAAACAATAATGTATCACAAACTTTATTAGGTCATAGCTTTAATGTTTAACCATAAACATTTAAGTCTTTAGTTTGTGTATTATTTTTTTCTCGGGGATTACAGAAGATATATTAAAGGGGCCTGCCTGGCTACCAGAAGGATCTCGATAAACTCATTCACCCCTGAAGACACATTTGAACTCTTCAAAATCAAAGGTGGAATAATTCATTATGAGATTTCAGGGGTGAATGAGTTAATATTCACTGAATCTGAACTTGTTCCCTTTATGAATTTTTCGAGTGCCGATCAAGAGTTTCTAAAATTGAGCAAAATTAAGGCCAGCATATAATGTATAGAGAAGTCAAAAATATCAAAGATTTGCTTCATTTTTGATGATCGAATTTAAGTATATCTACTACAAAAACACACTCATGTCGAGTCAGGGTCAAAAACCACCTCATTTTGTGGTTACACACAGACTTGTATGATCACTGGAGACTTAAATTACAAATTTACCTATCCCATATCCTGGAAAACCTTAATAGATGTAAATATTATGCATAATGCTCCTTTTAAAAACTCTTGCTAAAATAAGAAAGTGTCTACTTTCAATGTCTGGTTACTCTTATATTAATCCCCTCAGCAATTCCTAGTTAGGCTAAAAGTTTGTTTTTGCATGAAATCTTAAACCTTCTCTGATTTAATTCATTTGTTTTTTCTTTCAATTTTTGATATACACAGGTGAAGAAACATTATGTGTTGTGTTCTAAAAAGGATTTTTTCCGTTAGCAGATTTGAAAATGAAATATTTTGCTGGCAACTAGCTTTATATACATACAAAGTAGATAATGTATGCAAGTGTTGAAAGCAAAACTAATATTCAAGGCGAAACTCAAACTGAAAGATAGTTAAACAATTTTTAAAATGCACATGTATACATGTAAGAAAATAAAAGTAGGTACTTGTGATAAGTGTGATATGAGTTTCTGACACTACCCCCAGGGCTAGACACACGTGATTAGTGTGTCCCCACACGGATGTCCAATTATCTCAGGTACCTGGATCATGTTTACAGGTAGCTATAGATCACAGGTGTTACAATCTGACCAGGATATGGTGGAAATACTAGCCCACAGGCAAAGGAAGCTAAAACAGGTCATTAACTAGAAAGTCACCTTTTGAAATTCCCCCAGGAGGTGATAAAGCTTAAACACTAATTGATATTAGTCTCCCTGTGAAACATATTTATAAACTGTAATTGCCGGCTATTTAACTCGTGTCATCACTTTAAAAGGCGTACAAAAGACATCTGACTTAATGACAATTTTGTAATCATTCTTCAAGTCAAAATATGTAATTATATGGTGTTTTAAAAGCAGCATTTCAATAAATTTAATGTTGTGATTTAAATAAGTTATGTATAATTAGTTTCAGTATGATATAATGAGTTTCATAAAATTACAAATATGTGAAATAGCTACAAAAAATTTTCATACAACGTCATACCAACTAGACTGATCATCCTTTAATTTTTTTTTTATTAAAAATTTTCCTTTATTATGACCCAATGAACACATGAATATTACTAAATTGATGAAAGGAAGCGTTATGTTTGTGACAGCGGATATAAGACCAGTTCTTTTGAAAAAGATTTTTAAAATGATAGAAATATTATGCACTTTAACAAAAAAAATCTCATAAGGTATAAATATACATGTATACTTAAGCTCAGGTAAATGATAAACTTGCATTAGTCACTGTTACACCACAAGAATGTGGATAATGTTTTAACCCTGAGTCATAATGTTGTAAGCTTAATTAAAGCAAAAATGAAGACATCAAAAATACAACTGTCTTTTAAAAACTAAAACTTGACAAGATATTATGCAGAAACCTTCTTATTTTTCATGCGATTATTCAATATCTGTGAAAAGTTTGGTAATAAATATCAGCTTTATTAATATTTTCTTACAATAATGCACATTTCAAGCTAACAATGCTTTGCGATTTAACTGTACTTACACAACTTCAAACCACAGCTTTGCTAATCAGATCAGCCTGATTTGCCGACCATGACTTAAACTTGTGACCACCTATACTGTTTTGATCAGCTTATACAGATTAATAATAAAATACATTAAAAAAAATTGTCCTTTCTTTGAGAAATTATCCTGTCCGGAAGCAAAAATACCAAAATGTTTGCTAAGCAAACTTTATATAAAAATACATGCAATCGGAATGTGAATTAGTTTTGTACATGAATAGCTGAAACTAGTTCTAAAGATTAAACTGTTTAGATACAAAAGGGTATGAAAAAAAAGAATGACCAATGTTTTTTTAAGCTAAGTCTGATACGAGGGAATGACCTTGACCAGAAACCGTACATTAAAACTAAATATTTCAAATTATATATTAACTGTCAACCCATTTTGTCAAACCGATTGTTTCCTATGTGTTCAGTTATTTATATTTATGTAATTTGATTTAGATTGATTCAAGGATAAGAACAACTTGTTGAACCAGCTTGTACTGTATACACACAACAAATGTATGATCTTCAAAGAAACCTGTTTTTTCGCTTTTACGATCAAGACTAATCTCCATTCTTAGAACAACATGGTAGGGTAATTTGGACTAGCGGGGTGTATGTTTCCATCAATCAAACAGTTATGTTGTATTTCAACAGCCTGTGTTGATGTATTAGCATTTAGCACCTGTTTTATTTGGCCATATGATAACAGGAGCGAAGCCAATGAATTTTTTGAGATAAAAAAACAGCCAGCACTGATAATAATACAATGATATATCACTCAACCCCAAAAGCTTTGGCAACTCAATGACTCAACTGGTTCAAGACCATACAACAGCGCTGCTTTTATCATACGCTAACAATATTAATGACTTTATTATACCTCAATAATTTATTAATTAGAAAGTACAACATTAAACCTAATAAGTTCCCAGTGTCATGAAGAATCAAATTTGATCTATTTCTGTCGAAAGTTGATAACAGTAAATTATGAACTTACTATGAATGGTGTTTATTCTAGCTATTATTTCTAAAGAATTTTATAAGGTCTGCATTTTACAATTGTCCTTTTAAAATTAGCAATGCTTAAGGTGAAATATTGTATATTAACCTTTTTGTAGAATCATATCAGACTGAATCAAAAAGGTTATATTAGATATGATATAAGGACTAAAAGATACATGTGTAAGACTTGAATTTCAACTGCAAATATCCTTGTATTCACACTTTTAATTGATAAAAGATGTTCAATCAAGATTTGTTGCAGACAGTGGAAAAATCCCTCAAAAAATGTGTATATAATATACCACAGGAAGTGCCATCTCATTATCTGATATACATAGGTCGATATTTATGTGTATTTTGACATTCTTTTGATGATTTGACCATTGGTCATCACAATCGATGATTGACTGCCATATAGGATACACATATACATATATGTATATATTTATACAGTTTAACTTCTGGTATTCTTATTGATAGAACTTATAAACAGATGATCAAAAGATTTACTAACTTTTAATGTTAATAAACAAATAATACATACATCGTATTACAAAAGTGAGATTTAAATTTGTTTAATTTAACAAATCTTCATCAGTCAGGTATTTATGACAAGATAATTCAGTCGTTAGGTATTTTAAAGAATTCATAATCTTTTTATTTTGTCATCCAGGGACTTATAATCTATACTATACTATAATCATTAAGCACCTTTTTATATTTAATTATTAATTAAACAAACCAGGTGGGTGTTTTTTTTTTTATAGAAAACGTCATCCGGTCTAAACCTCACATTTAAGATATATATAGGGGAACTCAATTTTCATTAGGTACCATGGATGTTTGTTTGTGCAAAAAAAAAATCGCTTCTAAAATAGTTTTTATATTTTGTGTCAAATTCAAGTGATCTGGTATACTTACCATCCAATATGCACCACTTGCCATCAATTTCTGCATTCTGAATGTAGGAATCTTCAATTGTAGGATCATAATCTTCAACGAACATTTTCTGGAAGAATTGTATCGTTAATGCCGACTTTCCAACACCACCATCACCCACCACCACGAGTTTATAAGTCTTAGCATTGTCCCCGTGTAAACCCTTGGACATCGTGGAAAATGTTGCTGTTATTCCTAAAGTTCACACACTATACTAAAAACACAACCTTTAACTTCACAAATTGTCTTGGTATGAATACCCTCCCGTTACACAATTAGAGATTTCCTCTCGGATATGATAGCTTATACAGGAGGAAGTAGACCCTCTGGAGCGAAGTGCTGCCCTGAAGAGCGAATGACACAATTTCTCTGTAACACAGGTTACGCTATTACGTTTTAGGATCGCACAGAGATACAGGTAAATATCCCCAGAGTGTTACCGAGACCTCGTGGTACGGTCCGAAATGGTAAACACACACTGTCAGGCTCCCGTTAGCGAACTTAGTGTCTCTAACCGTTTAAAGTCCTTGACATGCGCCAGAGGTAAGTCAACATACTGCCTTATGTTTGTGTAAGATGGCTTTCACCGCCGGTAAACGATTAACACCTAACGAATCTACATTACTGCACCTAGATCGTTTGAGCTGTCAGTTAGCACGTCAAAGATAGTAATACTAATACACGGCCAATATGGCTGGGCTGTGAAATATCAAAGTTATTTTTAACGACAAATTTGATTGGTTAATTTCCAAATCCGTGAAGAATGTCGTTTGTGATTGGCCAACAGGTGCTCTTTCGCAATCAACGTTTGTTTACTTTCCAATGTGAGATCGTACGGTATGTCTTTGCAGCTATGACGTGGTATGTTGGCAAAAAATCTGAAGAATCTGTCTAGCAATCATGCTGTGACAGCACAGAATCGATAGAGACTGCGCTTTAAATGCCATGCAGAGAAAACGTGACTTCGGGATATTTGTAGGCCTTTTGGCAGAGATGAGATATGTAAGAATGGTGTGACCGTACCACCTCCACTCCGATCACGAACCCGGGATACCCAAGGGATCGCCACCTATGTAAAGCGGTCAGATTGTTGACAATCTTCAGAAAAAAACTTGTGAATATTTCACAACGTCAGTTCGTCATGACTTCTGATTTTGGCATTCATGTTTTTCACAATAAAGGATGGTCAGATATGGGGGAGAGATATACGTAATGTCCAGGTGCAGCCACAGGAACATGTCGAATTACCGACGTTTCGCCCCAGACCATTTCGCCCCAACTTTATTTCAAATCGCCCCATTTTTCAGTTCATGACAACCACATGTCGCCCAGAAATTCTGTATCGCCCCAACCGATACGAACCATATCTAATCTTGTGAAAGTGGCGGTAATTATTGCCAGTTCCACATAAATATTATTGATCAATTGGCATATTTTTTTTTACATTAATAATAATATTTGCTTTAATGTTCATGTAATGTTTTTTAAAATATTAATTGTGTTGATGAGTTATCAGTTTGCATGTTGATGAAAGAGCTAGTCATCAGTCAGTTTGTGAAAAGTAAAAGATATGCCGAATGATGTACCACGGATTGAGTGTCTGCCCTTCATATTACATAATATACATGTAGCCCCTTGCCCCTCAAATTATAAGACGACAGGCTTGGATGTTTTATCTTGTTTATTCCCGTAGGAAAAACCTGTAATATTAACAAACGAATACTCGCTCAGGTAAAAAACATTGGAGCCAATGCAGTGCCTGACCATATAGGGTGGTCGGGTGCCGCGCAGTGGATAACTGGATATTGCACTTGCCTTTCACCAATGTGGCCGGGGTTCGATTCACCGATCGGATGTGGGTACTCCGGGTACTCCAGTTTCCTCCCACATTTAAAGACCCCCTGCGCACTAAAATTCGGGCCAACAAGGGTGATTAATATAAGTTGAAATAAATTGTTTCATAATTGTTGTAAAATAGACAAAGTTTATAACATAATAAGCAGTTTGGCCCGGGCTTCATCAGTTGAGAAGCAAAAATATTAATTGTTCTTACCCTAAAAATTTTGAGAATATCAGCATGAATGTCAGCTATTTCAAATTTTCCACGATGAAAAACGAAAATGATAAAGTTGGTTTGACATGATTGTTTTGTTTTTGCCGGTTGACTGGTAGTCCTTCATCCGAAGATCATCACCAGGTGCACGAAATGGAAAAACATAAAGGATAGTTTGATTGAAAGCATAGGAATGTGGGGATATGTAGGGAAGGAAGACAAGAAGGAGAGAAGAAAAGATGAAAGTAAAAAGATAGAGTTGGAGTTTAGATGAGGCGACTGTAGTTGATCTTCGAAACATCTGTTTTCAAGATCCGTTTCCAGGGATTGGGCATTGCACACATCGCGATATCTCTTGGCAAGCTTTTGGCACTGGATTAAAGTCTGAGGGTAGAAAGACAATCTGGTATCCGACATTGGTGACTTGGCTGAGAGGACGGGAGTTAAACTGTTTATTACGAAGGTTAGCCTTACTTGGGTCGTCACGATGTCTTATCCTTGGTCCTTTAATGTTTGGGGTCTAGCTGTGTCTTTCTTCATGACTATGCTTGATGAGTGTCCAGAATCTCTTGCAGCTTTCCATGTTCTCCTTGGCTGGATTTTCATCCATTGGTGTTATGAGGCCCTTAACATAGCTCCAGTACGATTCCCTACACAATCGTTGTATGAGGTGTTTGGACTCCTTTATCCGATGTGTAATTTCCTCTGATGGTTTCTTCATAGATCTAATGTACAGAGTTATAATACTTGGCAAGTAGGTACCTGGCATGTAGTGCTATAAATTTCCTCAACAAAATGACCTTGACCTACCTACCGCAAGTTTCAAATGTGTTAAAAACCTTTAACAATAACCAGGAGGTTCAGAGTACTGGTACTTGGCCAGTAGGTACCTGGGACAAAGTGATATAAAGTTTCCTCAAATAAATAACCTTGACTTACTTTCAAGGTCACAAGGGTAAAAAGTGTTAAAAACCTTTAAACATCTTCTTTTAATAACCTTGAGGCCTAGAGCAATGATATTTGGCCAGTAGGTACCAGGGACAGAGTGCTATAAAGTTTCCACAAGTAAATTATCTAAACCCACTTTCGAGGTCACTGGGGTCAAATATGTAAAACTTTCAAACAAATTCTTCTGATTAACCAGGAGGCCCAGAGTAATGATACTTGGCCGGTAGGTACCTCGGATAGAGTGCTATAAAGTGTCCCCATTAAATTAATTATCTTTACCTACTTTCACGATATATTTACAAAAGTTCCACTAGTTCGTTTAAATGTGACCATTCAGTTGTCATATGTTTTCACCATTTCATCATTATTATGCCATGGTGCATCTACCGTCGTCTGTCCGTCGTCCATTGTCCGGCATCAGTGATATACTTTAAACATTTTCTTCTGAATAACTAAGAGGCCTATGAAAATTATAATTGGCCGTTAACATACTAGGATGAAGGGCTACCTAGTTTGTTCAAATAAATGACCTTCACCTATTTTCAAGGTCACATGGGTCAAATATGATTAAACCTTTAAACAACTTCTCAATAACATGGAAGCCTAGGGTTATGATATTTGGCAAGTAGCATGCTGGGATGAAGGGCTACCAAGTTTGTAACAAAAGGCCCAATGGGCATGCATCGCTCACCTGGTATAAATCTCACACTTGTAACCTTAAAAGTGATCTAAAATAAAGCTACAGGCAAAATATCAGTATTTATGATTAAAATTCATTCAAAATACCCATTTATTTATTGTGATTGAAAGTCGAACAAAGTCATTATGTTGAACAAATTTTATAGCCTTTCATCTCTGGATGCAATTTGCAAAGTATCAACATCCTGGGACCTATGGTTATTCAGAAGAGGTCGTTTAAAGATTTTAAACAAATTTGACTCCTGTGACCTTGAGTATAAGTCAAAGTCATTCACTTTAACAAACATAGTAGTCCTTGATCCCAGCATGCTACTGACTAAATATCAACATCCTGAGCCTTTTGGTTATTCAGAACAAGTTGTTTAAATATTTTGAACATATTTGCTCATTGTGACCTGGAATATGATTCAAGGTCATACATTTAAACAAACTTGGTAGCCCTTGATCCTAGTATGCTACTGACTAAATATCATCACCCTGGACATTTTGGTTATTCAGAAGAAGTTGTTTAAAGTTTTTAACATATTTGACCCCTGTGACCTTGAATATGAGAGAAGGTCATGAATTTGAACAAACTTTGTAGCCTTTCATCTCAGCATGCTACTGGCCAAATATCACCCTGTGCATTTTGGTTATTCAAAAGAAGTTGTTTAATGTTTCACATATTTGACCCCTGTGACCTTGAATATGGGTGAAGGTCATTCATTTGAACAAACTTGATAGCCCTTTACCCCAGCATGCTACTGGCCAAATATCATCACCCTGGGCATTTTGGTTATTCAGAAGAAGTTGTTTAAAGTTTTTAACATATTTGACCCCTGTGACCTTGAATATGGGTGAAGGTCAT